AAGACCAACCTAAGGCTAGAGAGATTAGGCAACCGGAGTTCTGATGAGAACAGGAGTTCTGATGAGGAAAGCTGAATGGCAGTGATGAGTCTGACCATGTAGAAAGTTTTCAGGGCAGGAATCTGGATGGAAGCAGGGCTAAGGGATTTACCTGAAGCTTAGGCAGTGAGCTGAATGAATTTGGAGAAGACTTGTGAGGAAGATGTGCAATGAGCTAAATCTTGGAGGATGATGGGTCTTGGAGAGCTGCATGGCTGGGGAGTGTGTTCTGAGGAAACCTTCAGAAACCCAAATGCAGAGTCTGGAAAGAGCAAAACCTAAACTGCAGCCTAAGAGGAGTAAAGGAGCCTGGCTAGATTAGAGGAATCCTGTTAGCCAGTCCCTCCTTCGGGACTGGCCCCTTGTCTTGTTCTGCCACATACTCACCATGTATAGTCTTGGACAAGTCATGCAAACTCACCCCTGGTTTCCTCACTCATCTTACAAAGTGTGTACCTGTACTACTTACCTTACAGGATTTTGTGAGCATCAGTGATACAGAGGATCTGATTACTTCACATGCCATTGCTAAATCATGAAACTGATGCTGCAGTAGGCAGTTGGAAACACCCCAGGCTCCATGTACACTGGAAAACAACCCCTTCCAGATGCATAAGCTACTTCATCATCATTTTACAGTGTTCATATGCAAAGTAATATGCTAGGCACCAGAAACATAACCCTTCTCTTCCGTCAAGATTGCTCAAACTACTTCAACTGTGAAGCGTGTTTTGAAGCCCAACCTCCCCCAAAAATTAGTTGCTTTCTCCTCCGTGAACTTTATACACACCTATGTAAGGATGTGTCACATTGCTTTGAGGTCCTTTGAGAGGGAGGTTACATAATGATTAGAAGCAAGAGCTCTGCAGTCAGATATACCATAATTGAAAACCAGTTTCAGTACTTAGAATCCTTATGATTTAGGCAAAGCTGCCTAACTTCTCTGTGACTCAGTTCCTTCTGTAAAATGGGATATACCTCATAGAGTTGGAGAATTAAGAAAAGCACTTAGGTTGGGCGTGGTGGCTCACACTTGTAATCCCACCACTTTGGGAGGCTGAGGTGGGTGGATCACGAGGTCAGGCATTCAAGAACAGCCTGGTCAAGATGGTGAAACCACATCTCTACTAAAAATACAAAAATTAGGCAGGCGTGGTGGTGGGTGCCTGTAATCCCAGCTACTCAGGAGGCTGAAGCAGAGAAATGCTTGAATTCAGGAGACAGAGGTTGCGGTGAGCTGAGATCACACCACAGCATTGCAGCCTGGGCAACAGAGTGAGACTCTGTCTCAAAAAAAAAGAAAGAAAAGCATTTAGTACCAAGACCTGTTACATAATATTCAGGGGGTGTTGGTAATTATTCATCGAATAAATGAATTACTTGTTAAGTGAACGAATGATTGATTGAATACATTTATACTTACAACTAGGCAGCAAGCTGGGAGAATTGAGAAGATTGTCTAATTCATCTTTGGGTTCCCAGCACCTACCACATGCCTGTCACATAGCAAATGCTCAATAAATGTTTGATGAACAAATAACTGAATGAATTAATTAAAATTTGGCCTTGGCTGGATGTGATGGCTCACACTCATAATCTGAGCACTTTGGGAGGCTGAGGCAGGTAGACCACTTGAAGCCAGGAGTTTGAGACCAGCCTGACCAACATGGCAAAATCCCATCTCTACAAAAACCATAAAAATTAGCCAGGTGTGGTGGCACATGCCTGTAATCCCAGCTACTTTGGAGGCTGAGGCACAAGGCTTGCTGGAACCCAGGAGGCAGAGGTTACAGTGAGCCGAGATCACACCACTGCACTTTAGCCTGGGTGACAAAGAAAGACTCTGTCTCAAAAAAAGGAAAAAATCTGGCCTTGTCTTCAAAGAACCTTCTATCATGTGGAGACTGTGTTAATTAAGGTTTTTTGGTTGTGGATACCATAAGCCAATTTTAGAAAATGTATTCAAGAAAGGTAAATTTACTAGAACTCTCCTGAAGATGAAGAAGTGTTGGCACTCAGAAAAATCCTAAACCTCAGGACCTGATCATTATGGATCTTCCTTCCTCCTAACCAAACCACTTCTGGTGCTTAGCTCTCAGCAACCTACAACTTTCACATTCATGAGGTCAAACTTCTACACTCTCAAGAAAGAAATCTGATTGGCCTAGCTTAGGGTGAAGATGGGTAAATCTTACCAATCACAATGGCCAGAGCACAAGGTCAAACTGCTGGAGATGAGGAATCAGTTACAGACAAAGAAGGAGCGTAGCAGAGAAGGGAGGAACAACCCTATCAGTGTTCAACTCAGGGAGATAGAACCTGGGAGTGAAAAGGATGAACAACAATAGCTTGGAATGGATGTTAAAGAAGGAGGCTGTCAGTACAGCATTTTTAAAAGGGCTATGCGCCCCCTTTCTCTTCCAGTTCTAGGCGCTTCAGGAGCCATGGCTTAGGTGCAGACATGGCCAAGTCCAAGAACCATACCATACACAACCAGTCCCGAAAATGGCGCAGAAATGGTATGAAGAAACCCCAATCACAAAGATATGAATCTCTTCAGGTGGTGGACCCCAAGTTCCTGAGGAACATGATCTTTACCAAGAAGCACGATAAGAAAGACCTAAAGAAGATGCAGGCTGGCAAGGCCAAGGCCATGCATACACGTGCCGAGGCTGCCACGGTCCTCATAAAGCCCCAGGAGGTGAAGCCCAAGATCCCAAAGGGTGTCAGCCACAAGTTAGATCGACTTGCCTACGCTGCCCACCCCAAGCTTGGGACATGTGCTCGTGCCCCTATTGCCAAGGGGCTCAGGCTGTGCCGGCCAAAGGCCAAGGCCAAGGATCAAACCAAGGCCCAGGCTGCAGCTCCAACTTCAGTTCCAGCTCAGGCTCCCAAAGGTGCCCAAGCCCCCACAAAGGCTTCAGAGTAGATATCTCTGTCTGCCAACGTGAGGACAGAAGGACTGGTGAGACCCCGTCCCCCCAGGCTGCCATCTGCATGGGGCTGGGGTCCCCCTGTGCTATTGGTACAAATAAACCTGAGGCAGGAAAAAAAAAAAAAAAAGTCTATGCATAGATGGCTGTATAGGGAGAGAAATGAAGTAAAAGAAACCAGGTTATAGGCCGGGCATGGTGGCTCACACCTGTATTCCCATCACTTTGGGAGGCCAGGGTGGGTGGATCATGAGGTAAGTAGTTCAAGACGAGCCCAGCCAACATAGTGAAACCCCGTGTCTACTTAAAATACAAAAAAAGTAGCTGAGAAGGATAGTGGGTGCCTGTAATCCCTGCTACTCGAGAGGCTGAGGCAGATAATTGTTTGAACCCAGAAGCACTACACTCCAGCCTGGGTGACACAGTGAGACTCTATCTCAAAAAACAAAAAGCAAAAAACAAAAAACACAGGTTATTTAGCTGGAGGAGCAGCCGGTCAGCACTATCAGATAAGGTTCTTGGTTGCATGCGCTGCAAGTCAATGCTGGCTGACTTACACACAGAAGGGAAGTCAAATTCATTGGAACGTTATTAGCAGCTCAGAGACTTGACTGAAGGCCAGAGGACCAGGCTTAGAAAAACTTAGGAGCCGACCGGCGCGGTGGCTCAAGCCTGTAATCCCAGCACTTTGGGAGGCCGAGGCAGGTGGATCACAAGGTCAAGAGATCGAGACCATCCTGGTCAACATGGTGAAACCCCGTCTCTACTAAAAATACAAAAAATTAGCTGGGCATGGTGGCACGTGCCTGTAATCCCAGCTACTCAGGAGGCTGAGGCAGGAGAATTGCCTGAACCCAGGAGGCGGAGGTTGCGGTGAGCCGAGATCGTGCCATTGCACTCCAGCCTGGGTAACAAGAGCGAAACTCCGTCTCAAAAAAAAAAAAAAGAAAAAGTTAGGAGCCACTGGAACATCAGAGAGCTACACAGCAAGAACCACAACAAATATTTCTGGCAGAAACTGCGGAGCACGCCTTTAAATTAAGTTTAACCTAAGGCTGCCTCCTTGTAAGTTCCACCTAAAGGTTTCTCCTTGGATAGTAAACACAAACCTAACTAGATATATAAACAGGATGTAACCTCAGGTATTTGTAGCAAGCGGCCGGCCATCCTGGGGTGGCAGCTCACACCTGTAATCCCAGAGCATTGGGAGGCCAAGGCAGGGAGATCACCTGAGGTCAGGAGTTCAAAACCAAACTGGCCAATATGGTAAAACCCTGTCTCTACTAAAAATACAAAAATATTAGCCAGGCGTGGTGGCAGGCGGGAGGATGAGGCAGGAGAATCACTTGAACCTGGGAGGCAGAGGTTGCAGTGAGCCCAGATTGCACCACTGCACCCTAGCTTGGGCAACAAGAGCGAAACTCCATCTCAAAAACAAAAAAAATCAAATAAGTAGCCAAGCCTCAGGCAATAACAGAAGCCATTCTTCAACCATTCAACAGGCAGCCAACTGTTCAGTGTTCAAATAAGGCAAACGCTGAGCTATAACCGTTCCAACTGTTTCTGTGTCTCACTTCTGTTTTCTGTATGTTAATTTTTTTTTTTTTTTCTGATCATAAATCCTGTCTGACCATGTGACAGTGCTGGAATCTCTCTGAATCTTCTGGTTCTGGATGGGGACTGCCCAATTTGAGGATCATTATTTTTGCTCAGTTAAATTCTGTTAAATTTAATTTCTTTGAAATTTTTCTCTCAGCAACATCCCTGCCAAAACAAATGACTTCCAACTGCCCCTTTCATCCTTTTGTCACTTGGTCGAGAGTCAAGTACTGGAGAGACTATCTGCTTGCTTAAGTTTAGGACACACTGCTTACGATTAGGTCCTTACAGGTGCAAACAGAAGGAAAAAGTTTCCTTCACTTTTCATGGTGGGAGGTGCTTACCAAGATGCGCCCTCCTAAGAAGAGCATATTCAGTGAGAAGAGGTGATTTCTCAAAAGGAAATGGAAGACCTAACAGAAAAAGGGAATAGACACTGGGTGGGCAAAAATGGTCAATGTCCTTTATGTCGGTTGGTTAAGGCTGCAGAAGAATCACAAGAGAGAGCTGCATACTGTGGTATGCACCTGTAATCTTAGCTATTCATGAGGCAATGGCAGGAGGATCACATGAGCCCAGGAGTTCAGGACCAGCCTGGGCAATATAGCAAGACCCCACTCAAGAAAAAAGAAAAAGAAACACAGATGAAATGGAAAGGGCCCTTCAGAGGTAATCTGCTTTTGCATGAAAACCGGAGATAGACAATGTAGAGATATTATTTGAACCTGACTCTGAGAGCACCATTTGGTCTTCCTTTATTTATTTATTTTTTTTTTTAAATTTTTGAGATTGAATCTCACTCTGTTGCCTAGGCTGGAGTGCAGTGGCACGATCTTGGCTCACTGCAACCTCCGCCTTCTGGGTTCAAGTGATTCTTGTACCTCCCACGTAGCTGGAATTACAGGCGGGTGCCAGCATGCCCAGCTAATTTGTGTATTTTTAGTAGAGATGGGGTTTTGCCATGTTGGCTGGTCTGGTCTTGAACTCCTGATCTCAAATGATCCACCCACCTTGGCTTCCCAAAACATTGGGATTACAAACATGAGCCACCACGCCCGGCCTGGTCTTCCCTTTTTAAACTTTTCATGCTTCATTTATTCATTTATTTATTAGGCCAACCGCACAAGTATTTTTTGCTGGGCATCATGTTGGGTACCACAAATACAGTGATAAATAGAAAGTATTTATTTTCCAGCAGGAAAGGGACAGGCTAAAAAAAAGGAAAAAGAAAAAAGAAAAAAATAGAAAGTAACATGGTCACTGCTCTTATGGAGCTTTCAATCTCGATTTACAGGAAATGTGTCTGCCCTTTCTTCTTTTTTTTTTTTTTTTTTTTTTTTTTTTGAGACGGAGTTTTGCTCTTGTTTCCCAGGCTGGAGTGCAATGGCGAGATCTCGGCTCACCGCAACCTCCGCCTCCTGGGTTCAGGCAATTCTCCTGCCTCAGCCTCCTGAGTAGCTGGGATTACAGGCACATGCCACCATGCCCAGCTAATTTTTTGTATTTTTAGTAGAGACGGGGTTTCACCATGTTGACCAGGATGGTCTCGATCTCTCGACCTCGTGATCCACCCGCCTCGGCCTCCCAAAGTGCTGGGATTACAGGCTTGAGCCACCGCGCCCGGCCAAGTTAGAGGAGGCGTCCCTGGGTGGGCACGAAGTGTCTGCCCTTTCATTATTCCTAATCCAATAGAGTCAGTGAAATAGACCAATTCTCTCCCTGGGTTTCTGATCCCACTTTTGAAGGAAAATCTTGGATAATGGTTTTGGATTATTTTCAGTGGCAATATTTGCATCCACAAAACTAGGCAGGTCCTGGGGCAAGAGTTTAGAATTGCATTATGATCATGAGGCCTGAGCTATTTAAATGAATGCTTGCATGCAAACATGAAGCTTTACGAGGAATGATGGGGCTTGGGAGGCCAAGGCGGGTGGATCTCCTGAGGTCAGGAGTTCAAGACCAGTCTGGCCAACATAGTGAAACCCGTCTCTTTTTTTTGTTTTGTTTTGTTTTAGAGATGGGGTTTCTCCTTGTTGGCCGGGCTGGTCTCGAACTCCTGACCTCAGGTGATCCACCCACCTCACCTCCCAAAGTGCTGGGATTACAGGCGTGAGCCACTGCGCCCGGCCCCTGTCTCTTAAAAAAAGAAAAAAAAGGCCAAGGTGGGGGGATCATCTGAGGTCGGGAGTTCAAGACTAGCCTGACCAACATGGTGAAACCCTGTCTTAAAAAAAAAAAAAAAAAAAAAAGAGAGGAACAATGGTTCCTGATTATACACCTCCAGGGTGCCAGCTGAGCATTTAGTAGCGATTTTAGTCTGTACCTAACAAAGCATTTGCAATGGGAGTTCTGCAATAATACAGATGAGTGCTCCAGGAAGAGGCAGCCAGAGTCTAAGTCTCAATGGCAGGTCTCTGCCCTTGAGTTACCTCTACTCCAGAAGCACCTGAGAGCTTCCTCTACCACACCCCACACTGCCACCCTGAACTTCCCGTGGGCACTCACCTGGCTGAATGTTGCAATCACTTCAGGTTCTGCTTCTGGAAGCAAGTGGACTTTTGCTTCTGGCTTCAAGAGGGAGGAGAAGAGATGGTGATGCAGATTATGGTAATAATGGTGGTGTTAGCCAAGACTCTGAGTTGTAAGTTTTGAAACTGAATTTAAATTGGATTAAGCATAAAGAGGATTTATTGACTCACATAACCAAAAATCAAGAGTAGATCTGATTGGATCCAGGTACTCAAATGATGTCATCAGGAATCTATCTCCATCCCTGGCTTGGGGTTCCTCTGAATTAGCTTTATTTCCAGAAAGGCTGCCACCATGTGATGGCAAAGATAGCTTGTGGTGGACAAGCTTGCTTTCAATCAGCTTTAAAACTTTAACTGAGGCCGGACGCAGTGGCTCATGCCTGTAATCCTAGCACTTTGGGAGGCTGAAGTGGGTGGATCACCTGAGGTCAGGAGTTCAAGACCAGCCTGGCCATCATGATGAAACCCTATCTTAAAAAAAAAAAAAAAAAAAAGCAAACTTCAACTGAAAGACACTGCCTGTTTTCTGCAGTCTCCTCAGGATTCCTAGATAGACTCCTGTTGGCCTAGCTTCGGTGACATGCATCAGGTGACTATTGAATGGATTGGCCAGGCCTGAATCTTGTGCCCACCCACTCCACCAATTCTAAGCCACAGGCTCAGAAAAGGGGAGACCAGTGGTTTTCCAGTGGGAGAAGATGGGTGCTGTTGCCAGAAAAAAGAGTGCATAAGCAATGGATGTCCATTGCATGATTAAATATGATGACCACAGTAAGCAACAGGAAGTGCGAATGCCTCGGAGAGTCTCAACATTTTCAGATGATATTACAAGAAACACTGATTTTAGACTCCCTCATTCACAAATTCCCTACAAAATTTACCTCAAATTAATCCCTCCTTATGGTAACTGTTCTGTGTGTTTACTTAACTAAGTGACTGATATCTTTATCTTCATCAA